GACATCAGCACAGCAAACAGCCTGACCACATGGACCACCCAGCACAGCTCTGCCCCGTGCTCTGCGCACCCAGAGACCCCGGGAAGCTAATTGGAGCATTCATTTAAGCACCCATAGCTGGGGAAGGGAAAAGAAATGGGAAGGCTTGCAGCTATTTCACAAAGTTTCCAGGCTTGGGGTCGCTGCGTTTTTTTGCGGTGAGATACAGCTTGGCCAACACCAGCATTGCTCTGTGGTGGCCTCACGGGGCTCAAGAGCAGAGCCACATCTGGGGGCTCTGCTGCTGCGCCCAAGTGCTATGCACGGTTTGACCCGCGCCTGCTCAAGCGCCATTGAGAGGAATTTGGCACAAAATTTCCCAAGCATGAGGCCGAGCACGAAGGACCAGTTTAGACTGCAGCATTCCTGCCAAGGGAAATTTTAAAGACTCACAAATAGCTCTTGGATTCCTCAAGGACAGATGCCTGAAAAACCTGGAGAAAGCCACTCTGACGCAGCGTTCATGCACRTGCAGCCCACCGAGCACCTCAAGCCAGGGCTCGGGCTGCTTGGAGTACAAGACACRTCTGCTGCTCCGCAGCCTGAAGTTAACAGCCTCCTTTTGCCTAAAAAAACAAAACCGCAAAAACCCAAACCCTGCAAAAATCCAATGCTGTTATCAACTTTGTTGGTTCTGTTTTTGAAGAATAGTATTTCAATTTAAAACAATTAAAAGCTATCGATGCTTTATGCAGGGTACCACGTGAGGCAGTGAACATTTCTTTATGATACAGGATTGTCACGAATGTCCAAAACTACAGTCAAAATCCTTATCAAAGGTGCAGCAATCCAAAAAGTCCCTGGCTAAGCAGGTCAGGGCCTGCCCACAGAAAATGCAAAATGCTCCTCTAGGGAAGGTACAAAGCCAGTGCCTATCTGCAAGCTGCTCGAGTCACTCACATACCCACACGGCAGGTCAGCAAGAAGAAACTCCAAGCTGGTTCAATTAACCATCCCCAAAACGCTCTGGCAAGGAAGGGTTACCTGCCCAGTGCAACGATTTTTRCTTTGATCTCCAGGAAATGCCTGTTTATTCCAAGATCCATTTGCTATGGCAACCCAAGTTTATAGAAAAGAGGGGAAAAAAACCCCAGTGCTTAGCTAGAAATCTTTAATATTTTACTCCTCCAGCAGTTGTACAACACCTGGGGCCAGGCAGCATTTCCAGCAGTTTCCTCAAGAATTATAGGGATGCATGGGTGGATTCAGGAGTGGATTCTCAGCAGGGACACCCRTTGCCTCCCACGGAACAGGGATCTCCTGCAAAAAAGCCAGACTGCAGAGGAGGCTCCTGAGAGTTTATTGAAGGAGCAAAGTTTATGACGGCAAAAACACCATCAAGTCACGAGTGAAAGCCTCCTCTCCCACGAGAGCGAGTGYGACCCCACGCTGTGCCAAAGGCATCAGTGCCAACGGGCACCGCCTGCCCTGGCCACTTTGTCACTCTTCTCTGTCTGCAAGGCGACACAGCCGAAAGCTGCAGAGACAGTTAAAAGCCAGAGATCAAAGGTCCTTCCTTTGGAAGCTCTGAACATTTTTGCTGTTCTTTTGGAGGGGAAAAAAAAAAAAAAGAAAAAGGAAAAAAAAAGAAAAAGCCTCAAGAGGGGTACAATACAATATCCAATGTCTGCCCTGTTTCCCACTTAAAATCAGACCGATTTTCAACACGGTTGGTTCCAGACACACAATACCTGTACCCTAGTCCCGTTCCTCAATCATAAATTAGCTTTAGAAAGTCTATTTTTAAAATTGCACATACAACGGGTCTRTGGAGGGGTTGCCTTTGTGCCTTTGCGTGCCCAAGTCCTGAGAACAACTTAAAAACGTTACCCAGCCACAAGGGCTTAAAACAGACTTTTTTTTAAATAATAATAGCATGCTTTTCTCAGCTTTCATTTGGTGCCCCTGCTTCCAGCAGCTGGGATTTACGCAAAAGAACATCAAATGCCACAGGGCTTATAATACAAATAAAATAAAATCACGAGAGCTCCCAGCATTGCAGTTTTGCAAGCCTCGCCGGGCTGCTTTCAAGCAGCCTAAGACTGCTTAGCCTCTGCCACAAGCAAACAAGAAAACACAGGGAGGAAAAAAAAAGAAATAAGTTAGTGCTTGCTGGCTCAGGGCACATCATCCCTGCAATGTATTTATACACTTAGGAATTTCGTGCTGGATGCTGTCACCTCACCAGTTCTATTCCAGAAGACTCACTGGGATGCTCCAAGCCCGGCTTGGGGCTTGCAATGGACTTTGAGCTGGATTTCTTTTCCTTTCGCTTTGTATAGATCAGGTACAAGAGTGAGAAGGAATTCGCTGCATTTTATGCTTCCATTGCTGTGCATTCAAATAAAGCTGCCCTGGGATAAGCCACTTCCCTTTGCATTGATTGGGTTTTGCGGCATGAATATCRCATGTCATCTTCTGGTTACCCAAAGGAGAAGCCAGACGCCCACCCCTGAGCACGGGGGCCTGCCGTGGCTCACAGGGACGAGGAGGTCTCTGCGGCGGCGGGCACCACAGCGGGCCAGGTTTCCACACAGATTTTCCTTGTTAGTTGGAGAACAGACAAGAGGCTCCCTTTGAGCCAGAGCCCTTCTCAGCACTGTCAACCAAGGCACAAGCCACACATTTAGAGCCAAGAACTCCACCGTCCAGGAGGCTGGATGCATCCAGCTCTCTTGCTAGCCCATCTGCTTGATACCACATGTCCCACCACCCAGCGTGCCAATTCCTGTTGGCAAAAATAGCTATATGGACAGAAAGCAGTGTGGGACAGGCAGAAAGGTGAGCGTGATAACGAACGGCTGGGTTTATAGTCAGATACTAATTTTCCCTGGTGGTGCCATCAATTTAAAAGCAGAAACCTTAAATTTTGGGGAAAACCTGGAAAGCAGAGACTAGAAACCTTCCTGAAGTAAAAGGCACTGGTTTATTTACTTCCCTCAAAGCCAGTAAAACATTGGTGTATTAATAAGAACAGCCTGAGCAACGGCATGCAAACGCCAGCTCAATAATTAAATAAAGAGGATGATCCTCCCCGCAAAGCAATGGCCAGGGCTGCAACGTCTGCCCTCCCGGACACCCCGCACAGGAGCCTCTTGTTCCAGCAGCTCCAAAGAGGCTGGTTGATTTTAGCAGGGTGGCAAGCGCAGGACAGCACAAAGACAAAAGCAGAGCAGAGCTCTGCAGTGCATGTTCCCTGCAGGAAGGAAGGCCGAGCTTCCTATGGCAGGGAGGAGGTGGAAGGGGAAAGGGGAGGGGGCTGGCACGCCGGAGAGAACACGCCAGGCCGAGAAATAACATTCAGGCACGTCAGGCACAGTGCAAAGGCTAGAGCAGATGAACAGGGCGGAATTTAACCCAGCTCCATCTCTCCCTGCAATGTTTGACTTAATTTTGTCCAGTGGAGCTTTGCTGCAGTTGCAATCTGTCCAAACCCCTCCCAGCAAACACATCTCTCACTTCCTTAGACCAGTACCTATTTACTTTCATTCTTTAGTGCACCCAGACACCACCAACATGATGAGCAGCCATCCAAATACTACATCTCCAGACAACAGGCAACCCTTCAGTTTCCCAATGGGACAACCTGACAGAAAGGCACAGCACTGCATGTTCCCAATGGGACAACCCGACAGAAAGGCACAGCACTGCATGCTATAACCTTCCGAATGCAACGTCACAGAGAAGTTATGAGCTTTATCAATGCAATTTTAAATAAGAAGGGGCACGGATGCATGGAGACATTGCAAAATAAGCCTGCTGAATGTTGCCCAATAAAACGGTGCCTTCCAACATTGCTAAACCGAGGAATGGAATAGATACAGACTGTGCTGCTTCAGCAACAGTCCTGCAGCTCAGTCCTTGCCCTGGCCTAAACCCCTGCCAGGCCCAAGGACAGACTCTGATGGCTCCGCTGTTGCAATTGCAAATCTCAAAAGCTGACATGTCATTTTTTCACTCTAGCAGGATTATTCTGAGAGGCTGCAAAGRTATCTGGAGTGTTAAAAAGAGGAAGAAGAGGGAAGAAAAAAGAAAAAAAGAACTGCTGACGGTGCACTTCAACACTTTCATGCCTTGCCAACACGCCCTCGGTGGCTGCTGAGCTRCTCCAGTAGAGGTACAAGAAGGAGCAGACAAACTGGTTGAAAGAATAGGGAGGAAACAGAAAATGGGGTTGAAGATCCTCATGTTCACCTGATTTCTGCTATCCTGACAACCATGCATAGGCACGCAGGCACATTAGTGAGCAGCAGGCACGCAAGGGGCTTTGCCCTCATCCCCTCATCCTTTCGCACTCACCTTCCTCTGGTGCTTGGGAATTAACAGAAAAAACAGCAAGGGGGAACAAAAAGATATACCTGGACAAGGGGAGAGATGTGCAATTCGCTGTGCCAGCCTGGGCACAACTAGCCGCAGCAGTGAGCYGACGGGTCGCATTTTATGTTTATGTGACAAAATGTCCTTAAATGTTTTTTTTTCTAGGGCTTTTCCTAGGAAAAGTCTCCACAGACTCATGGAGGTAAGAGGTACAAAATCCACCAACCTCTTATTATTTACTCCTTGTGCATAACAGACACCGAATCAAAAATAAGTCATGGGTTATAAAACAGGATTACCCTCCTATGAGATCTGTACAAGGGGGCCTGAGTGGCAAAGAGGAGTCCTTAGAGCATTTTCCAATTTTTAAAGTATTAAATGTTGAGAAATCCAACAACTCCAGTTTTCTCTTCACAATGAGGATCTTCAGAGCTTCCCTGGCCTTGATTTAAAGGCGTTTGTGCACATTAGAGAATGGGGAAAAATCCAGGGACTACTGAAGCAGTGAGTAGAGTGCAGCTTGTGACTCATTTCTAACTCACACTGGTGCTTCTGTCTGCTCCAGAGGTGCGGTTTTACCCAAAATTAGCCATTTCCTCTGCAAAGTGAGAAACGTGAGCTGTAAACAGAGCAAGGGGTCTTACCCAAAGCTTGCCATCCCAGTAAAAGGCTCCCAGCAGCTTGACGATGTGTCGATGGTCACAGGTCGCCAGAATTTCAATCTCCACCATATAATCTTCCAGTTCATCTTCGCTCTTGGTTTCAATGACCTTGGCAGCTGCTAAGGCACCAGTTTCTTTATTCTTAGCCTACAAGACAAAAAACAGGTTGAGCACAAAGGCAGGGAAGGCTGGGAGCACATCGTATCAGCACCATTCCTGTTCCTCCAGTTCCTGCTTCACTATTAACATACACGGCATCCATATGGAAAACTTGCAGCTGCATTTATGCTTCATAAACCTGCCTGAAACTTTGCATACAAGAGGGCCCAGCACTTCTGGTGAYGTGTTTTAGTGAGCTCCTCAGATCCTAGGTGGAAAAACACTACATAGGCTCCCTTGGCTGCACGCTCCGTTTCATATCATGCCTTTAATCAGCTTATTTCAGTCTCTTTCACTAAGTAACTAGAAACCTGTCAAAACCTCTTTGTTCTAGCAGTCAGGAAACTTTTGTGGCATCCCACCTAAAAGCTCTGGTGGAAAGTTTATGTTCTGTGCCAGCACGCTCAGCATGCTCCTGTCTTGCTACAGTAAACACATCACAGTTCCCTTTAACTGGGGACCATGCCCTGTCCTCACATCTCCAGCACCCAGGTCCTCTCCCTTGAGCACCAGTGAGCAGAAATAGGCACGAATTGGCAGAAACAATGGCAAAACTGCCCGCCTAATGCACTGCAGACCAAGCACTTGGGCAAAGCAACAACCACTTGTGAACCTGTGCGCGCGCACACACACACACATTTATCCTTGTCCCAAACTCTGCTACCTGAGTCAAACATAAGGGATTGCTCAGCAAGCAGCTTAAGGGACATAAGAGGAGGAGGAGGAGGAAAATGATGAACCTAATGGGAACTAAGGRCTGTTTCAGTTGGACATATAGACCTTCTTTCCCCATCAACAAACCTAGAAAGAGGCCACTGACAGYAGCACAGTGGCTGCCTTGTTTGCAGTTGCCACACACCAGCAATAGGCTATTAATGCTGAACCAGAAACACTGGTTGCCACGCTTGCTTCCTCACCACCTAGCTCCTCTCGTGTCCCCACGGCACTCAAGGTGGGGGAAAGGAAGCTGATGAAAGGTTTGGTTAAAAGGAAACGTTCATAATGAGGCAAGGCCATGCTGTCCTCATAGCTAGGGCAACACTGGCTGCAATGGCATGGGTCACCTCCACCAAGAAGTCATCAGTGAGGAGGGGCTGGCAGCCTAGGGCTCACTGCTTGTGTCCCTTGTCACAGCTGGACCTTGCTCTGAGACACCTCTGCTTCTCCCCCATTTCYCCATGTGTCCCAACAACTGCACCCAACACACTCTCAGGACAAGATCGCTTTCACATTGTCCACCCAGTATCGTGAATGTTTATCCCCATGAGATAAATCATATCCTGGGAAAGGGGATGAGCYAGAGCTGTTGACTCAGAGGCTCAGCACCATTCCCAGACATGCACTGAATCAGCAGAGCAAGGAACAGGAGAAATCCCTATTAGCTCACCCACCCTGGTCCCCCACCAACACAGGAGAGCTCATAGGGCATTAACTGCAGATGTGTCACCAGTCTACAGTTGTACTTGCCCTGGTCTGCTATTTTATGCATTTTGTGTATGTTTCTGTGCTTGAAAAGCCTATGCAGGAGCTTATTGGAGGATTAACTGCCAGCATAAACACCGTAAGCTCAGCCGGATAGTTCTGTGTAGCTTACATGATAGTGTAACTGCATATCAAGAAACCAGCTGGATGGGTGGAGGAGAACAAATAAAGGGAAAAAAAACATGTAACAGAAGAAAAAAAAAAAAGAAAAAAGAAAGAAAAAAGAAAAAAGGAAGAGAGAAATGGAAAATGATGCTCTCCCCTCTCAGGCAGGATCTCCCAGCCCTCTCCTGGGTTTGAACACTTGCTGAATTCACACACTGCTTGGCACAGAGGACTGCGTCTTTACTGTGGGGTACAAACCCATCTCCAGCCAAGCTTGCTGCCCAAATGCAAGACAACAGCTCATGCTGCTTCCAGAACAATTTCTTATTTTTTAGTGATGTTGCTCAGGTCTGTTTCTCAACTAGTTTCCTCCAGGAGGGTACACAAATGTTTGCACCCATGGGCAGAGAGGGGAGCAGAGCATGTGTGGGCAAAGAGCAGCATTTCTGAAACCAAGTGAGAAGTGCCTCAGCTCAGCCACCCTGCACTTACAGGGCTGGGAGAGACCCAGGGAAGGGAAGTCAATATTGCACAAGAAGGTGGGGCTTCCCTTTGCGGTCAGCTATCACACACTTCCCCACCACCAAGGCTCGGGCTAGTTCAGCCTCTTCAGGCACTCTGGAGCCTTGGAGGCACTTGAAATAACATCCACAGTGCACCCTAGACCTTCAGCATGGCAGAGCCTGGCAGGGAGGCAGCCTGAGATCTGAAGGGCGACCAGCTTGTCCTCCCATCCAAACCTAGATGGTAGATGAGCCAGAGATACGTTCCGCCCCCCATTCCCTCCTGGATGTGCTTGCCCTCACCTAGACTCACTGTCCCCTTGGTCCACAGCTCCTTTCAACCCACATCCTGCCTCACTCCCAGCAAAGATGGGCCCGTGCCCAGACTCTGGTTTGGTCTTGCCCACTGGAGGGTCACCAAGCAGGAGTGGGAGCACTGCTCATTCCCAAGTACTGTTTATCTGCAGGATGCTGAAATAACCAAAAGCAGGATGCACTGGGAGAGAGGGCAGAGAAGTCATGGTTGGAACTGTCCGATGCTTTCATCCACCAAGACCTATCCTTGGCAATGCCGGTGCATTGCCAAGGCACYGTGCAGGCAATGCCTGTCATAAGCATGTGCACTGCTGCATCATGCCCTAGGATGGTGAACCCCAGTGCAACACCCTGCCTCACTGCTGCTCATGGCAAGACTCACTTTTTGAAGAAGGTCAAGAGATACAAGTGGCACTTGAAGGCTCTATAGCTGCTGTCTCAATGCACATCTACCTGTGGAAGCAGGGACCTCTCACATTGAGCCTTGGCAGGCTCTGGACTTGCAGACTGTGCAAAATGGACAGCAAACTTTAYGTAGCAGAGCAGCACACAGCCCGTGCATTTCAAACTGCATCAATCAGGTCTTATTCATTATAAGGTCTATGACTAGCAGGTGAGTAATCCAGCAGCACCGAGTTATCACTTCCGTTCTAGATATGATAGATATTTCACACTCAGTGCCAACGTATATCAGATGAAGTCACTCTGCAAGCAGAAGCCCCACAAAACAAGGACTTTTTTATTTCTCCTTCTCCTAGACTTATTAAGCACTATGAGGCACCTCACACCATCTCCAACTTGAGGCCAGRAGGAAGGGATGCAGCACAAACCACAGCCAGGCTGTCAGTGAGGTCCACGGGACTTTCAAGTGACTCAAGAGTTATTTTAGCTGTTAGAACAGCCCTTTGGGGACTTTAAAGAAGTCCCCACAGAATTAGCTACTGCCTTTCGTCATCGCTGTGGACTGTCCTGAATGAGGATGTTTTTTTTCCTTGCCATCTCTGATTCCCTTTGTGTTCTGCTCCTGACATGGAGGTCAGCCACTTCAGGGATGGAGTAGATCCCCATGCACAGTGGGTTTGTACCTAAAGGGAGAAGAGCTCGGCTGTCCCATKTCCCCTGCCATGCCAGCATGAGGAAGTCAGGCTGCTCAGTCACTGGGGGAAGTGAGAACATCATCTTGGAGAAGTCAGTTCAATATCTGACAAACTCCTGAGCCAAGAGCTTTTGAAATGGCAGCAGCAAATTCACAGGGGACGCCGAGAAGATGGTAGGGGCACCACCCTAATGTTTCCCATGGCCCTGTGATAATGTCATGGCTACAGTTAGGTGCTCTCACTGCACTTCCCAGAAGGGATCAAGATACCTCACAGCTGTTTTACAGTGGGAGGAGCAGAAAGGGGATCTAAAACCATGAGGTCAACAGTAGATTTTGGAAAATAAATCACTCCTAGTTGCGCCCATTAGAGTGTGGACAGACTGGTTCCCCTACACCTCTGCCTTTGAGGGGACCAAACCTCACACAGCTTGGACAACTGACCCCTTAGAGAGTTGTTAAAGGCTGGATTCAGGCTCTGGATGATCTTGAACATTTCTAACGTGCACTCGAGTTCAGCAAGTTAACACATCAGAATAGCACAGGAAACGCAGGGAGTTTCTGCAGATACTGCRTATGTTAGTTTATTCCCCTTCCCTTTGCCTTTTTTACCAGCTGCTTTTACGACTCCAGCCCTGTCCCAGGGCTCAAGCTGTGTAGCCAGACAGCCTCCCTGACGCATGCTGAATGCCARCGGCTGTCCCTGGTCACTTGGAAGACCCTGTGATGGACCTTCAAGGCAGCCAACCAGCTCCAGAAGCAGCACAGAGCAGGCCAGTTTCACACAGTGTCAGACTTTGGCTTGATGTGCTCTGTGGTCTTTCTCCAACTGATGCCTGGCAATTTCCTCGAGTTTCTCTGCTGGTATTTTCCTGCACACAACATATTGCAAGATAGATATTCCTTACAGAAGGGTTGTGTGAATCCTAAATGGGCCAAATGCTTATGTTGCCATTCCTGGAAGCCCATTTCAGACATCTGAGACATCCATATGGTGCTTTAGGGTTTAAAGCCCTTCTCTGATTTTTACTTATCCTTTTGCAATAGATCAGAATCTGCCCCAAGACATTAGCACAAAACAAAAAACAGCCCACTCTAACCTCAAAAAAAGAAGCCAGCAAATAAGCACCAGTAACCTGCATCTCTGAGCACAACCTGCAGGCCTGGCTGATACCCCTGGAAAAGCCACATCTGCTACTCATTGCTTAAGAGCTTCAAGAGGGAAAGAAAGTATTGCTACCAAGCTCCTTATAGCCTCACCTCTCTCGAACTGCATCAGGATCATACCTCACTCTTGCGAGCGAGGGAAACTAAAATTTCTCTCATGAGGGTTTATTTCATTGGCTCTTAAATCCCAAGCAAAAGACAAGACAACAGTACAAGGGAAGGAGGAAAACCAAGAAAGATGAAGACAGTATGTGGGTCTGACTCACCCATCCCTTCTATGGGGAAGTCTGTCACGTAATTTCATATGAAATCTTGCAAAA